TTTGAGAAAGCTCTCAAGTATTCCTAAAGGCATTTTGCGAAAGGAATAATAAGTGTAAACCCAACGTCCTCGATGTACTGCATTATTCATAGCTCTAATCATTAAAATGTCTTTATAAATACGCGTGAAGTGAACACAAAACCCATTTTGCTGTAAAATATCAATGAAGTAGAGTGAGTGAAATTTAGAACGGCATTAGTGACATTTAATAAATTCTGAGACAAACGTGTTAATTTTGGGGTATATTTCAGTAGCAATGTATTTTCGTAGTTTTATTGAACAATTGAAATTCCGTGGTTTTTAATGATGAAAAAATACCTATACTTTTTAGTAATATTGACCCAAGTAAGCAGATTTCATCTGTGAATTATTGAAATGTGAATATATTCTGATATATAAAACGGCACTTATACTGTTCTGGTTTTCACCCATTTAAGCTTCAGTTTGCGCACGTTTCGTGGAGCTGTCCTTTAGCTAGTAGTGGTAGAAGTAGACCCGCGAGTGTGTTACTATTGTCTTTAGCAATGGAAACTAGTGATGCTACCGAATGACACAGACTTTCCCTATTATTTTTCTATTTTCTTTGGTATCGTCTAGCTGTACAAACTTGCCACATACTACTGTCCAAAGTACATTTTTTTAAAAGTGTTCTTAATTTTTTGGTTTCCTGATAATGCAACGGAAATATTATTTTGTGAATATTACATAACAGTAAAACTTTGTCCTAAAACTACATTTTTGTAAGAAAAAATTGTCTTGCACTTACTAACGTAAGAAGAAAATTATTGTAATCGTGCTCCCGGAAAACGGCGAATTTTTTATGCAAAAACTTTTATTTCCGGGTTCTGGCAAGGAAAAAGTGGGTAAATCCAATTGCTATATATAAAAAAAATCTTCATACACGTGCTGAAGCCAGAATCCATGTTTTCTGGGTCGTTGGTACCGAAAAATCGATGGACGGCAAAACGTCAGTCTGTCATTCTGAGCGCCCGCTCAGGGCGCACACCTGTGACAGACTGACCTACCCAAACCAAGCACGTAACCGCCGTTGGTGAATCCTTGTGGCTGCGACGTAAGGCCACAAGCTGATAGCGCGAGCCAGCGGGTAGGTGGCAGTAGAGGCGATAGATAGCCAGCCGTACCACCATCCCGGCTAGCTATCGCGCGGACTTCAAAACAGGTGCAGGGGTACCGGGCGAATGGCGGCTAGGTACTGGGTTCTGCGCGGACGGAATTTGAGAAAAAATCCGGGTATACTCCCAAACATTTGATTTTAAATTCCGGGCGCAGCGAGGATTTTTCTTGGTTGATCTGCAAGCCCACCTGCTCGGTCTCGAGCAGGTCACGGAGAAGCTAGTTGTGGGAGTTAGCCAAGGGAAGAATATCATCGTGCGCACAGTTGCAGATTTGTTGAAAGGAAGCGCATGGCGGTGCTTTAAATTGGAGTTCAAGGGCGACACATACTATGCCAAACCACTGCCTTGTGCTCGGGGCAATAGGCACATGGTAAAAACCACCTCACAAATCTATACGAATTGCGTATTTATAAGCATGAATCTGATGAAGTACCTTAATAGGAGACTGTACCACAACTTTACGCAAGTTCTCGTAGAATACAGTCCACTTAGTCATATTAAATATGAGACGGTAATTTCCCTTCAGCCCATTTTCTGGAAAATTTATATTCCCCAATCGATCTAGCTGATGTCGTGGACCCTGGAATTTAAAACAGACATTTTTATTTTGTGGATACCTTACGGACGTTTAAGATAATGATGCGGGTCTCATCGCCGTTAACATCCCCGATTTTTCAAAGATTGGAAAACAAATTTTAAAACTTCAAATTTGGAGATAAAGATTTCAAGTCAAATCTCAAACAAAGTCAGTTGAACAAAATTAGCTCTCCAAAAGAGGTCACGTACAATGTTTTTGAAAAAAGTCATTGTTTTGAGTTTTGAGTCTTTTTGCGATTGAAATTTCCAAAAAAAATTATGAAACACTGCTGGATTTTTTTTTCTTAACATTTTCTCCACTTGTGTAATAAAAGACGATAAAAAGATGGTGCTTGTTTCATTCGTCAATATTTGCTCTGTTTTTTGATAGTTATAAAAATAATTTTAAACTACAAAATTGAAGATAGAGACTTTTGCCTAAGACAATGTCTTTTGAATGAAATCAGTTCTTTAAAAGACTATTTACAATTTTTATTTCAAATGCCAGTTGTCTTGCGTAATTTGCGATTGAAATTTACAAAAATTTTCTCAAAAACCGCTTTAATTTTCCTTTAAATTTCCTTCACTTATGTAATAAGAAACGGTAAGAGATATGGCGTTTGTTTCATTTTCGAGTACTGCTCGTTTTTATCGAAATCTGCCAAAAACATTTCATTACCACAAAATTGAAGATAGATTTTTGTCTCAGACAGTCTGTGTTTTTAAATTTATTTATTTGATTGTTTTGTACATAGATCAGTTTATTGACAACTATACACATATATTGATGATTTATTAAATAAAACTTAATCTAACATAACACTACTACAGAGGTTGAGGCATGATGGCACCTCATATGATCTATTCTAGATCTGAAAATAATTTACAGAATCTGTGGTAAAAATATTTACATATATACAGATTTCAATGCAACTATGAGCTACGATAAAAATTGATTGAATGATATGAAAAAAATATTAATATAATTTTAGTTATAATTTGTTTTGAAAATGCTACTATTAATTCCATTTCCTTTCTCGCTTATTACTTTTTACTCAATGTGTATGGTCATTGTATAGATGAATTTCTTTTAAGCAATCGGCAAAGCATAATAGAAATTTCGCAACTACGCCGCATCGATTGAGAAGCACTTCAGTAGCACTTGTTTTGTTTATATCATCTCTCTTCCGAGAAACCATTCCCGATTTCTTTGAAAAGCAATAGCATGGAGTAAGGATATACCTTCTTAGTCGATAGCAATAGTGTTTATCGTATCTGAAGTGTGGATGTTAGATGTCGGTGATGAAATAGATCACTATCGGAACTGTTATCTTACGATGAAAGGCATCTCACGAATTTTCGTAATTATTTTAATGACAATTGCATATATTCTAATTGTTTTATTGAGATTATAACCCAAGCGATTGCACAATGTTTTGATAACTCTGCGCTGCTCACTTCTGGATTGGATTGGGCGTTTAGAAATAATGACTGGGGTGTTAGTAGCGCTGATAATGCCATATTTTAATATTATCTAGCTGTTTCCAGTAATGCGAGAGTATGCACTGATGTACTACCAGTTGAAATAACAAAATAATAGAGCAATATTCCGTTTATGACATCTTATAGAATTCACTTAACCCTATCCGTGCCAAAAGTTTTAAATAAAAATTAGAACATTTTTTGAGAAAATCTTCCACAAACTGGTCGCAATATAGCTTGAAAATTACCAAAAATGTAACAAATTATAAAAAAAGACTCCAAATTGTTCCTTATCATTTCTTGTAAGTATTGAGTAAAATACTCTAATAATGTTGATTTTGTGGTTCAAGAGTAACAGTTTGAAAACTTCAAAATTTCAAAATTTTTCGGGCGTCACAGGCAGAGAGAGTGCTAAAAGTACTCTACAAGATGACATAAACGCCATATGGCTCTATTTTTTTGTTTTTCCAAAAATTACAAAAATGTATATTTTTAAATCTCATGAGCCGTCAATATGTACATTTCTAGCAATCTGTAAACACTATTGTATTTGTGAGTTACAGTACTTCAAGTTACTTTAAATAAAGGCTTTCAAAATCTCAAATATTTTTTGTACAAAAGAGCATCAAATTTCGAATTTACAGTTGGTATAAGCTAAATTTTCGTAAAAACGACTGCAAAATTTTCGACGAAAATTGCAATTTCGGACGAGTTTTTACTTTTCTTTAATATTCATGAAACACTATTTCAATTGCATTATTAGAAAGAAATTTTAAAAAATTCAAAAAAACGATACTTTAACGATACGTTACGTTAACGAACTTAACTTCAACGATACTTTAGTCGGAGATAGATGGCAGCGGCCAATAGTATGTGGCAAGTTTTGTTTGTAGTTAGCCGACACCAAAGGAAGTAGTAAACTAATACGGGAAAGTATGTGCCATTCTGTTACACCACTAGTTAACTTGTATTTGTCTTTTAACAATGTTGGGAACAGTTTTTGAAGCACAATGGCACTTCTGACCCATGGCGCATTAAGTATTTACTTTTCTTTGATTAAATAAATCTAAGCAATAAATGCAATATGAATCGACTTGCAATCTTAATTATCATGCAACGGACATGGTGGTGCAAGTAAAGACTTTACGCAAAAAAATGAGATACGTCAAGGGAATTCGCCAAGCTTCTCAAGACGCCTGTTTTTTATCATCGTCGAAAGTACAAAATGTGGAATAGATACATTAGCTTGAAAGGAGGTAGGTATTCAAATATATCGGTATTATATTTTGCCATATTTACAAGATCGTTCAGTACTTTAGGTTTATCTGAAGCCAACAATAAATTCAATATTCTTCACAATTCTTTTGACAAGTATTCAGTTCAAGAATTTTCGACATTACGAAAAAAAATATGTTTCAATTGGTCTAATACTGTTTCGTTTTTCTAATGTTATATATCCGACAATCTACCATCTACCACTTTCAACTTCATTATCATACGTGCCGAATATTTCGCAACTCAAAATTGAAACAAACTTATCACTTCTCTCAAAAAAGTATTACCTTCTCTCAAGAATACAATTCAAAATTTTGCACATTATATAGCGTTGCTTTACTTCATGCTAAAAAAATTACAAAAGTATCAATTTTCTTTTTCAATTTTCTCACTAATCAAATAGTACAGATGATACTATTACTTTTCTAAGTGACAGTAATTTTTACTATCTATTTCGTATTTAGTACTTTTTACACAACGATTTATTGTTAAGACTTGATATGATCTATAAATGAGTTTTCTTTCATACAGGAGTGAACCCAAGATCCCTGCGCGGCAAGGAAATGGGCGTTTATGTAGGTGCATGCTTCTCCGAGTCGGAGAAGACGTGGTTCTACGAGAAGCACTCGGAATTTGGAATAACTGGCTGCAGCCGTGCTATGCTTGCCAATCGCATCTCCTATTGGCTGGGTGTCACGGGTGAGTTCTGAAATACCACCTCAGATGTTTGCAAAACCACTGTGTTCGAGGCGAGTATATGCGGCGAATCTGCATTGGCTCGAAGCCTTGGAATTTTGAAAAATATTTTTCTCAGTATTACATAAGTATTCTTAGATAGATATAGATAGATGTTTATTATATCTATAGCTAGGTTTATTCAATCTGGTGGTAGAACACTACAAATTTCAAACATTACAATTAAAAACATTAATAGAATATAATTTTAATTTGTTTTAAAATAATAATACTACAACTAATAATAGTATCAATGATAACAATTAAGGCAATACTAATAACAATAAAAACATAAATGATATAATTAATTTCAATCCTATACAGATATGTTTAACCAACTTTTTAACAACACTCCTCTCCACTTCACTTCATACTAGTTGCACTTCATTTCTCTTTCTATTTCTCTATTTCACTATTCACAATAAGTCACCAAACTTCAATACAAAAATGAAATTTGAGTACTACATATTCTTGTTTCAGTAAGTGGTAAATGCCTCCTTTACTTCATCCATTCTGGCCACACACGTGTATTCAGAATCCTCACTATGTAGAACATCGATAATGAAAAATGTATGGGCGGGAAGTTGACTGTCTGACCTTCAGTCCGTCTGTGGCAACGCTAGCGCCGAAACTGGTTTGACGATTTTCGCTCAAATTAATATTTCTCTGATCAATCTGAAAGAACTCGATTCTCTTTGAGTTTAACAAGAATTATTTGATTGTTCGATATATTTTACTGGAAGCCGCTGCATTTTCATTTTTTTTTTACTTTTATTTTTACTTTTGTTCCTGGTGTGTTGGTTGCAACGGTGGTGAATGTAGTGCTGGTGGCATTTTCGTTTAAATCTCTGAATTTTTGAAATTACAATTTTTAAACTTTTTTCAGCTTCTTCCTAACCCTAAACTGAAGATCATTTTTCGTCTATTACTATTGAGGATAATTGTTTTTCTTAATAAAAATTATTCAGCAAAATAGAGATTGAAGCAAGCTTATGTACAATGTTTTGAAAGTTGGGTAGTTTTTGCGTAACTTTCCTGAAACATAGTTAACTTTAAAATAATTTAAACAATTCTGTTTAATAAACCTCTACAATTTTTTCTTTAAAATGTCGAATTTTGCGTCTTTAGACCGAATCGGGTGGCCGCAACTCATGTGCGCGACTTCCCCCCAGACAGACAAGAAGCGTGCGAAGGCGCTGGATCTCGATTCAATGGCCCGCTACAGTGAGCGTGCGTCCGTGGTTGTGGTATTTTCCGTTGAGCGTCGCAGCCTTAACTCACAAATTTAGTGTTATTTTGATATGCATAGAATTTTTAAATAATAGTTTTTCGTTTTTTTTCGAATGAATAAAAGAAACGAGTAATTGATAAAGGGTGACCATGACCTATCATACTAATATTTCAGAATGTAATTTTTAAAACAACAGAAGAATGGGAAAAACATCGAGAACATAACTATAGAAAGAAGACAAATGAATCAATTTCCTAGACCTGGATTTCAGCATACTTGGAAGAAAACATACTTTAAATATTTTCAGAAAATCGACGTAACCAGCCAGTGGCATCCACAACTCTTCACAACATCTTATTCAACAAAAAGCATTGTGCATGCCACTACATAATACACAGATTACTAAGCCTACGACTGCCAATTCTTCTTTTACTTGAAGAACTGAACTCTATACTACATTGCTATTCCAAACGGTTACAGCACAGAACTCATTAACAACTCATACTATACCGTAAAATACACAAACAGGAACGAAAAATGTACACTACACACTCTACAATACAAACAGAAAACAAGAATACGTACTTACCTAATTGCGGAAACCTCTCAGGAAAAGTTGCACATATTATAGATGAAAATATCTTAGTTTCTTTCAAATTTCAGAATATCGTCAGATGAATGCTTTCCCTCAAACTCATAGATCCTTTAGAAAAAACGTCGTGTATTTACTACATTGCCATAGATGCGAAGTCAAAATATATTAGTCAAATAAGCAGAACTTTTAACACTAGAGTTGAGGAACGTATATGCGTTTGGAAACACAACTCTTGTAAATCTCACTTTGACAATCATTTTCTCAAAATGGGCTATATATTCAGTCCATACTCAAATATTCGTATACGGGAAATAGGAAATCAAACCATATCAGATTAACTTTGGAAAACCTCCATATGCATTTAAACGATAACTTACTGAAAACATAAACCATAGCCCCTCACCTGTACTAAAATTATTTTTACACACCACCCCCTCACCGCACTCTTGCGGGGCGGGACAGTAGACAGCCCACCGCACCCAAGCCATTAACCCTCTTTTACCCAACAGCCGGTGTACTTACGCCCCTTGGCTAGCCCATGCCTACGTAGTCGTTTTGTGGCTTTCATACAGCAGGGAAGAAACGGCTCAACTCACATTTCATGTTTTCTGTTTCAAAAATTTCACATGTTCGATTCAATTTCTTTCACTTCATTGTAAAATTAAATGGTTTAACAGCCCTCTTACTTTCTTTCCTTCTTTCTTTCAGTTCTTAAAATGTTAATTCAATTGTTTACATTTTACATTATTAAAAATCCATTTATCCTAATGTGGTTTTTTGACTCATGTTTGAATATGCTCTTTATATTTCTTCTACTAGAAAACTGACGTTGATGATGGCTAAACCATCGAAAGCTGCTCTTGTAATAAACAATATTGTTGGCAGTGACTCATATAATTAATTCATTGTAAATGCCAACGAAAACTAACCACAATACCAATATTCCAGTAAGAAGTTTTCCCTACATGTACTACGTTTCGCGATATGGTTTATGGCTTCCTCGGGTACATTTCATATGAAGTTTTACAATATTTATCATTATACACACCATATTTAATGAAGAGATGTATTTTGTGAAACACATTGTTTACAGAACACCTTAGGTTGGATGACCAAGATGTTTGAGGTCTCCTGTCTGATGTGGACGGGAGCACAACGTAAAACAATAGGCTACTTTCGTTTTATATTTTGCAATAGGTAAAGGTATATACATTTCATTGCGATATTCCCAACGCATTTGTGGGATTAATTCATTAGAAAGTGACTTGTGAGAAGTAGATATGAGCTAGGCTACAGATTACACGCCGGCTTAATTGAGTATGTAAAGAGGATGGTTTTGACATGTTTCATTATAGCTGCACTTTTCTTTCGAAAGCAAAATTACGAAAATATCTGACTTCGACCCACAGAGAAAAAGAGAAATTTTGCCTCATATGGCATCTCTGCACTGCACTAAAAAACTCGCTTTTTTCCGTTATGTCAAAACGAAATATTTCAAATTAATAATTAAATTAAAAAATCACGACAGAATTGGAGCCAATGACATTCGTTATATTCAAGCATTAATTTTTGCGAGTATTGCAACCACACCAAACATCGTGTGGCTGCCCCGTCTGCTCAGTCCGTACACTCTTTAAAGGGAGGCATGCGTGATAGGACTTATTCTCGTTCTAATACTTCATTGAAACACAGGGTATTCTCAAAGGTGGATTTAATATTCCGCTTTCGTGAGGTAAAGTCTCCCGTTATAATTATTACTTAAAACTAGTTTATACCTAACTTATATTAAATTCGGCCGTACTGGTCAGAATTTATCGTTGGAGGCAGGGCGGCGTCCTTCCCGGCGGTCACGCCCCGGTTACGTGATACCACTCTGTGGCATCTATAATTTTAATTTCCTAATGAATTATGAATAGACTAATAATGGTTTTGTTTGCTATTTAAATAAAACATTTCAGAATGAACTTGAAATATCTTGAAGACTTGGAAGAGAAAATAATTGTATGTACTCGAATCAGGCAATAGTGTTCCATCAACAATAGCTTTTATGAAAGACCTTTCATAAAACAACAATAAAAACTGAAAAACAGTTCAATTTATAGAAAAATTGGCTTTTAGCAAGAATTGATATATATATATATATATATATATATATATATATATATATATATATATATATGCCCATTGTGTTGTCAGCGCTCCTTGTCTGAGATGTGCTGATAAAGACAGGAATTGCAGTTAATATTATTACATAATCGTTACTATGGGGAGAGAAAGTATGTTCTATAGAGTTCTATGAGTCTATATTAGCGGGTTACGATTTATGGGATTTTTTTTTCAGTGTTCTTATAACTAAGCGTAGCTCGGAAAGGTGGCATTCCTAGCTGAAAGTGTCGTAATGATCTCCTTGCAGGACCGAGCTTCACCTTGGATACGGCTTGCAGCTCCTCCATGTTCGCCCTGAAGGAGGCCTACGACGCCGTTCGGTCTGGGGAAGTGGAGTGCGCCCTGGTGGGAGGCACGAATCTCGTGCTGCACCCTTACGTGTCTATGCAGTTCATGCGCCTGGGCGTGCTGTCGAAGCAGGGCATGTGCCGCCCGATGGATAACGATGGTGAGAGATTTTCAAGTGCTTTATGCCGAATTTTTGGAATGTTGGTGTTGGATATGTATTACATGCTTACAGCGTGTGTCCATTATAATAAGGAACAGCTGTTCTATGGTCACCGCCTTCTCAATCCTTCCAACTCGTGTATGCTTGTATGTAGTGTTGAAGATATATTCGTCGGACATGCTCAGACATTACACGGCGATCGATGTACGACGGTAATTTGAGAGAAATGGAATGGAAATCATATGGTTGTGGTGGAGACTGACAAATGCTTTTCTTCTGAATGTGGCTAAGAAGTCTTACTATGTAATCATTCCCAGTTGTTAATTATAGCATTTATATTATTTCACGCAGTCTCACTAGTTTCTCGTAGTTCACCACTGCTATTCTTTACATTGGCCGTTGGCTCAGATACACATGAAT